TTCTCATCAGAAGACTGGGAAGCAAGAAGACAGTACGACATCTTTAAAGTACTGGAACAAAATTATTGTCCACCCAAAATTCTATATCCAACAAATATATACCACCAGGAATGAAGGTAAAATAGAGATTTTTTTCAAATGAAGGAAAATCAAGAGAATTTATAGCCAGTAGACCTCCTCTAAAGAAATGCTAAAGGAATTTTTAGGCTGTATGGAAATTTCCCATGAGATCTTCAGGAATGAAGAAAAAGCAAAAGAAATGATAAATATCTGGGTAAATAAGAAATACTTTTTTCCTCTTAAGGTCTTTAAAATTCATATGATGATTTAAAACAAAACAAACATTATTTTGTAGGTGTTTCAATGTATGCTGATGATACATAGGACAGTAACATAAAAGTGAGAGAGCAGAAAAGGGACTTCCATGGTTACAAAGCTTCTAAATTTTGTTAAGTGCAATATTAACTCAAAAAAGACTGTGAAAGATTAGATATGTATGCTGTAATCCTTAGAGAAGCCACTAAAAAATATGAAAAATATAATTTTTAAAACACTTAAATAAAAATAGAATACTAAAAATATCTAAATAATACAAAAGGAGACAGAAAATGAGAAACAGAGGAATAATAAACAGAGGGGATGAAAAATAAATGAATAATAAAATATTAGACCTAAATCCAACCATATCAATAATTCTTAATGGCTTAAGCTTTTCAGTTAAAAGCAGAACTTGGCAGAATGGAAAAAAAGCAAGACCCAACTATATGTTGCCTGTAATATAATATAATATATAATATAACACTTATATAATGACACAGATAGGTAGAAAGTAAATGGATGATAAAGATGCACTATCTAAACAGTAAACATAAGGGAAGAGTGACTATTTCAATATCAGATAAAACAGTATTACCATAAAGAGGGATATTTCATAATGATAAAAGGAAGAGTTCGTCAAAGATAATAATAAATTTAAATATACTTAATAACATAGACTCAAAATACATAGCAAAATAAAGCAGAAATTGACAGAATACAAAGGAGAAATAAATAATTCCACAATCATAGTAAGAAATCTTACCCTGTCTCTTGTAGCAATTTAGAGAACTATACCAAAACCAAACCAAACCAAACAATATAAACACAGAAGATTTGAATATTATCAACCACCTTCGTATAAATAATATCTATGAAACATTACAACAAATGCAAAATACACATTCCTTTCCAGTGCACATGATATATTCACCAGTATAGACCATATGCTGGATTACAAAACTAGTCCTACAAATTTCAAGGGATTGAAATCACATAATGTTCTCTGACTATAGGAAATTAAATTAGAAATCAATAATAGTAAGATATCTATGAAGTCCTTAATACCTGAAAATTAAATAATACTTTTCTAAATGACTTATCTGTCAAAGATAAAAATCAAAAGAGATGTTATAGGATGAAGAGAATGTTCTGGAATTAGATAGTGGCGATGGTTGCATGCCCTTGTGACTACACTAAAAACTCTTGAACTAATACTTTAAAATGCTGAATTTTATAATACGTGAATTATATCTCAATTTTAAAAGGAGAAATTTATAAATATTCTAAACTTAAAGACAATAAAAATAAAACATAGCTAAATATGTGGCATATAACTAAAGCAGTATTTAGAGGAAAACTTACAGCTTTAAATGATTATATTAGAAAAGAAGATCTAAAATCAATGACCTAAGGCTATTCCTTAAAAAGGTACAAAAAGAAGAACAAACTAAGTAAGGGGATAAAAAAATAAGAGAAGAAATCAACAAAACAGAAAACAAACAATAGAAAAAATTAACAGAGCCAAAAGCAGGTTCTTTGAAATGATCAAAAATATTGACAAACCTAAACTAGGGAAAATAGAGAAAATATAATTCCTGATACTGGTGATTTGTATATTATCACCTAAGGTCCTACAGACATTAAAAAGATCACAAGAAAATATAATGAATAACATAAGCCAACAAATGCAACAACTTAGAGAAAGGGACAAAGTTCTTGAAATATACAACTCACCAAAATTGATACAAAACAAAATCTGAATAGCCCTACATCAACCAGAGAAATTAAATTTCTTATCAAAAATATTCCCAAAAAGGAAACTCCAGGCCTGCATAGTTTCACTAGTGAATTACTCAAGAAAAAATAACATCAAATTTATATAAATCTTACAACTCCAAGATAACAACCCAATTTTTTTAATAGGCAAAATATTTGGACACACATCACAAAAGATTTTGAAATGGTCACTGAGCACATGAAAAGAAGCTCAACATCATTAGTAGTCATGGAAATGCCAACTAAAACCACATGAGATATCATTACACATATATTAAAATGTCTAAAATTAAAAAGACTGACCATACAAAGTGTTGGCAAAGATGTAGAGCAATTAGAATTCTCACACGCTGCTTGGTAGAAATGTAAAATGGCAAACAATTCAGCAGTTCTTTAAAAAGTTAAATATATACCCACCATGGCCATCCAGCCATTCCATTCCTAGGTTACTTACCCCAGAGAAGTGAAAAAACTATGTGCACCTAAAAACATGTGCATGAATGCTCATAACAGCTGCATCTGCAATCAGCACAAATGGCAATGTCCATCATCAGATGAATGGATAAACAAATGTGGTATATCCCTATGACAGGATATTAACCAGCAATTAAAAAAAGGAACGGGCCGGGCGTGGTGGCTCACGCCTGTAATCCTAGCTCTCTGGGAGGCCGAGGCGGGCGGATTGTTTGAGCTCAGGAGTTCGAAACCAGCCTGAGCAAGAGCGAGATCCCGTCTCTACCAAAAATAGAAAGAAATTAATTGGACAACTAAAAATATATAGAAAAAATTAGCTGGGCATGGTGGCGCATGCCTGTAGTCCCAGCTACTCGGGAGGCTGAGGCAGGAGGATCGCTTGAACCCAGGAGTTTGAGGTTGCTGTGAGCTAAGATGATGCCACGGCACTCTAGCCCGGGCAACATAGTGAGACTCTGTCTCAAAAAAAAAAAAAAGGAACGAACTATTGATACACAAAACATAGGGATGGGCCTCAAAATCACCATGAGTCCATTTATTAGAATTGTAGAAAATGCCAATAACCTACAGTGACAGAAGTAGACAGGGACGAGAGTGGAGAGAGGGATGGGTTACAGGGGGGCACAAAGATACTTTAGAGGAGGTGATGGAAATGTCTGTTACCTTGCTTGTCGTGATGGTGATCAATTCTGATCAAACTGCACACTTTAAACCCGTGCAGTTTACTGACTGTACTTATAGCTGCCTCAATAAAGTTGTTAAAGAAAAAAGCACAAAAAAGGAATTCTGAGGAGCAGAGAATTTGAACGACTAACTAGGAGTTAAAGGAGAACCCGAATTATGGTCATCAGTGCTCCAAGCAGCATTCTGTCCACTGCATCCTCCTCCTCTGCCACCACTTGTCCCCTCACGCAACCTAGACTGTCCCTCTAAAATGAAGGTTCCTGCGAGGACTCAGATGCCCACTCACACAGATAGTCTCAATCTTTTCATCCCCCCGTTAGTTCTCTGCTTTTCCCAAAACAAGGTCTCTTGTGCACTGGCTGCTTCTTGGCAGGCATTATGCATGCCTGGGGGAGGCACTGACAGCTGCCCCGGCAATCGCCAGATGATACCACTTCACTGCGGGAAGAACAAGACACTGCTTCTGCCCAGAAGGAAATCACTTGCAGATGTTCAAATCCCAGATTACACCAACAGCAAAGGGTACAAATAAACCACAGGCTGATCTGCAGCAGACGGAACACCCAATTTCAAAGGAGCGTCCGGCTCCAAAGAAGGGGAAAGCAGCTGCTTAATCTTTCCCAAGGGGGCCGGACAAGGATGACCCGAGAATTCCAATTCCAAACCGTACACGCTTTTGGACTACTCTGGCCTCAACCACCTCTGTCAGCGGAATACATACTTATGTTCTCTATCATCCGTACACAGCGTCTGTCTCAGCTGGAGGGAGGGTACGCCCTGCCACAAATGAGATAAGGTAAGCGACAGGCCCTGTAAACTGCAAAGAGCCAAAGCGATGCTGGGTATTATTACTGCTTTACATGTTACATATTTAAATATGAAAGTGTGCGTACTGCACTCCCAGTAAGAAGCACCATGAGGATGGGAACTGTGTCTGCCAGCTCTTCTGAGAACTCCGCATCACTCCTAGCACGGTGCTCAGCCTGTGTGGTCCTCGGTAAATTCCTGTCAAGTGATCTGTTAAGTTACCCTGGTGCCTCCTGGCATACACATGGTCACCACCAAAAGCAACCCCTACAGAATGAGACCAGACACACGTCCCGTGGCCTCAATAAATCATGAGAGACTGGTGAAAGACAATTTTTTTGGAAATTCTCTAACGTCCAAAGCTGAAGCTGAATTAGCATTTTGGGACCAAAGAACTAGCCTCACCTTCAGAATTGATATGATGAATGCCTAAGGATTGAACAGTTACAAAACCATAAGGCAAAAACAGAGTCTATTTCCATAGCACAGAATGAGATCAAAGTACCCATATAGCATATCCCAGGAGAGGCTTGATTTCTATCTCAATAATGAACAAAAAATAATAATAAAAATAGCCAGTTTCCGACCACTACATCGTAATTTGTTGGTACATTCAACAAATATTTACTGAGCACCCACTCTTAGGCCCTATGGATAAAGAAGTGAGTAAAACAGACATTGTCTTTGCCCTCATGACACTCATAATCTTGGTACAATAAGTAAAATTCAGTTTTTTAAAGGGTCTGTTTTTTATTTAAAGTAACTATAAGTACAAATCGGTGCAACTCATAAGTGGTTTCAGGTACCTCCCTTTACTTTATAGTCATATTCGGCATTCTTGGCCTCTGCCATGGGCCATCTGTGTCCCTGAAATGTAGAGGCACAGTCCACGTTGTCACACAAACAAGAACCAGAGTCAGGGGGAAGGGGAGGGGGCTGACCTCTCGCCACCTGGCTCCGGCACTGCTAGAGACGTACACGTTTGTCTTGCTGGCCAAGTTCTTTCCCACTGAGCCTAAAATGCAAGACGAATAATTATTTTTAATTTCAACAATGCCAGATAATCACCTTGCCCAACCAGAAATGCTAAGTAGTTTCTAGCAACTAAGAACACCTGGAAACCAAAGAGCGGTTACTACTAGAGATATGGGTGATCACTCTGTATTTGGCTACGCGTAACCGGATAACTGAACCCCTTGTGAGGTCAGGTGAAGCACACTCACCAGTGGCAATGATGAGGCCTGGAGCCGACTCCTTGGATAGGATGGGCATTCTCCGAAGCTGCAGGTTGAGCAGCTGACTAAGGCGCTGGGCCAGGTGGAGGGAACAGCCCTGGGAAAGCTGTGGAACAAAAGGTCCAGGTGGTGTCAGCCTGCAATACAATGCCTGGATCTCCCCGTGAACCCTCAGCCTGTGTGAGGACACTGCAGCTGGACACAGAGCAGGAAGGCCTAGCCCAGAGGGAAGCAGACCCAGCCTGGCTGCCTCCGCTCTCCCCCAGACAGACAGGATCATCTGAACCCACATAAATGTCTCTCACTGAAGAAAAGAGAATAATAACGGCTTTAAGAAGCCTTCTGAGACTCTCCAGGAATAATAATTAGAAATCAGTGTCAACTCAACTAGATAGGAAAGGTATCATCTAGCCACATCACCCAGAGATCCTCTCAAGTGACTCAGAACTAAAGAGAAATGAAACGATTTTGTGATATTTTCTAAGTCGGTAGAGATGTGTTTCAAATACGATTCCAGTAATTCTGTCATAAGAGAAACCAAGAATCAGAAGTAAAAAAATAAATCTTATTGACAAGTTCCCAGATGTACAACACATGAGGTACAAACACCAAAGGATTAACATTAATTTTTTAAAGTATTCTACATTTGTACAAAGGTGCAGGTGTGCAGGGCAAGGCTTCAACTCATTCAATCTGGCCTCCATTGCTTATACCCAGATTTTAATAGTTCTCCTGCAAACAATCAGGATGAGGCCTTTTGCTACATGGTCACGCCCAGTTCTCCTGGCCAGAAGGTAATTGTTCAGTGTTATTCAGATGTGGCTAGTGTTCTAAACAGGGGAACTCTGTGTGCTTATGGTCAGGTAAAAACTGTAGCAAAGTTTGTTGGATCTACTTATTTTTGTCGCAAAAGGATCTCTAACAAATATCCTTCTTGCTAGCTTGGCCAATGAAAACTAGAGCAAATAAGGTTGGGTCTCAAAGGAATATTTATTTGCGCACGCCCCTTTCTGCCTGTTTCTTCGCCTGCAAGCAAGTCTATTCTGTATCCTCAGGTAATCAGATTCAACCCTTCCCATATGTTCATTCCTTCCACCACCTAAACTCAGACGTAGAAACCAAAAGCTGATTAACTGTCCTACAGTTCATAAATAAACTGGTCAGGGAAATAAAAAGTGGAATTTTAATGATACCATGAATTTTATTCAACTAAAGCCTGACCCCCACAGCATGCTAGAAAAACATACCCAGCCCCCTGGCCCGAACCACACCACGATGATGCTGAGCTGCTGAGGTCTGAGGACACTACAGAGGGACGAGGAGGCACCTAAATATTAATTAATATTTCTCTGTATCTATTTATAGCTTGCCTCTTTCCAAAATTATATTTGATGTGGTAAAGCAAGACTCACTGCCAAATAGAAAAGAAAAATCAAAAAGTGAATTCTAGGGCAAGAGTCTCCAAAAGAATTTTCCCAAGGGCCACAGACACAGCATACAGGAGATTCAACACAGCTTACCATGGACAAACAAAATTCAAAAATGCAAAAGTTAGTAACTGTCTAACTAAAATGTTATAGTTTCTCTAAAAATGAGTACTATTTGTTTTCTTCTGAGTTCCTTCTGCCTAGAAGTGGTGGTGGTGCCTTGGCACAGAGTTTGGGAACTGCAAGGGTAGCACTACAGACCAAAGTTTGTTCCATGTGATATTAATGGAGTACTATGTGATCCTGCGTTTTTCCAATAAATACTTGATGTAGGAAACTACCACAGATCAGGGCTCTTTCCCATATGTTAAAATGCAAAACAAGATTAAAGCATCTATACCTCACAATTGATTTTCTCTCCATATCCTGTGAAGGCTGGAGCCTGAAGAAACTCCCAGGTTCCCCCTTTGTCAAAGGTGATGACTGATCTCATGTTCTCCTCATTCATAGAACCATTAATCAGAGTAGCAATGTAGACTCCTTGTAACCCTTCCACTCGGTGGAAGTCAGCAAATGGTTCATTTGCAAAATACCTACAATAAGAGAAAATGAACAGCTGCAAACCTGAATTGATTATTTGCTTGGTATTCTATTTAATATAATATTTGCTTGTTATTGTGTATAACATAAAATTTAACCATTTTAAAGTATACAATTTAGTGGCATTAAGTACATTCACAGTGTTGTGCAAATATCGTCACTGTTTAGTTCCAAAATATTTTCGTCATTCCAAAAAGAAACCCCACACCGTCAGTCACTCTCCATTTCTCCTTCCCTCCCCAGGCCCTGGCATCCACTGATCTGCTCTCTGTCTCTATGGATTTGCCTAGTCTGGATATCTCATATAAATGGAATCATATAATATGCAGCCCTCTTATATGGTTACTTTCACTTAGCATAATGTTTCAAGGTTCATCCGTGCTATAGCATGCATCAGTACTTCGTTTCTTTTCAAAGCTTTTGACCCCAAATCCTCCAGTGAGCCTTGACAAACAGAAAATACTAAGCCAGAACTGCAAGACACTAATAACATGCTGAGGCTTAAATTTTAACCCAATCTGTAGGAAGACAGCTAAGGGTTACACAGCCGCTGTCCAGGTACTTACAACCCAATTATCCAATGCCCTGATCAGACAGAAGCCCAAAGGGTTTTCTGTCAGGAAGCCCAACAAAATTGGTCGATTCCTTCATAAAGAAACAGTACATACAAGGATGGTTCTTCTAGAAAGCCTGAGTTGATACTTGTTAACAGTGAAGCAGAGAATAAGGCCCTCCTAGGCTTTAACTACTATGCTAAAATACTGTGATTTCACTGGAAAGTAGTTTTGTGCTGAAATGGCACACACATTGCAAATGTGATGGATCTTTGAGAAACTGTGACCATGGCTCACACATGGCTTTTAAGACAGGAAGTGTGTGCCCTTCACGTGGAGGCTCTAAGCCACAGGGCTGTTAAACGGGAAGGCAGGGAACTGCTTTTCTCCGTCATCTGCCATACAATCTCTTGAGCTGGGTGACTGTTCTGCCACCTCAAACAGAAAGACACAAATGACACAAATGATAACCTTCGAGGCAGGAAAAGGAAAGAGTAGGAGCACCACAAAGCTACTTATGACTCAGAGACGGAGCAAAATCCTAAATAAAATGCCGAAGTTGAGACCAAACTCTCTGACATGTGGTTTCCTCGGGTCTCTTTTAATTCGATTTCAGGCACTTCCTTGGGAACCGGCTGAAGGCCTATTACCCTCCTGTTCTGTTTACGTCTGTTCTACTTCTTTTGATTCTATCTTCGTGAAATCTGCCGTCCCAAGGTTTATGGGCTTCTTTCACACCTCTGGGAGGTCTGAGTTTCTCTCATTTGGACCTGTTCCTGCCCCCCCAGTCGTACTCCTGAGAGTTTTATCTTTTACTCCCAAGCAGAAGCCTTCCCATCCCTCACGCACTCCCCGGCCCTTAGTCCCAGCCCATCCTTTCATTTCCGCTCTTGACCTGCTCTGCGACAAGCACCCTGAGTACTTTCTCTGAAAGTCTGTTTTCTTCCATGTTATCCTCACTGGCCCTCGCCATAGTGCTTCGCTTCTCCCCTTCTTCCCAGAGTGCCCTGGGCCAAGACTCACCAGGTCCCCTTCAGCCACACTGAGCACAGAATCCACACCATGGCAGCCACTCCTGCCAAGCGGGCAGTGCCCCTCCTTAAGGTGCCCCCACGGACCTGACATCTCATCAGCACATGAGTTCCTACGAAGCAGCCAACGTCTAGCTGCTGCTTTCCATGAAACTCCTACCCAGCACACCCTACCAATGCCAGGGTCATCCCTATTAACAGTTCTTTCTCCATTTCCCTAGGTAAATTAGAACCAGGTCCTGGGCATCACACTTTCCTATGTAGTTCAAAGAATACCTCATTTCAAATACCACAGAGGTTTATTCTAAGCCAGTTTACCCATGTAATCTGCTAATTCACCCTTATCCCATTTCATCTGGCTAAGATCGAGATGCAGAAGACAAAACGTCACTCAACTGAGCACAACTGAACCTCGCTAGTCCTGAGATAAATCTGAGGAGAATAAGAAAACTGAGTTGGATGCTGGTCACTGACTCTTCACGTGAAATCTATTTTCAATTTCTTAACTGGACTGACCACTCGGGGAAGGCGGGGGGACCCTCGTAACTACATTCAGGGCCACCTGTATGTGTGAGGTGGCCCGATGGCCACATCAGTGAAGCTACTACTTCCGGAGGAACCCCTCTTTCTGGCTTCTGACTCCTCCCCTGCCGTGTCATAAAATATCCACCCGGATTACCTAACAAATGAGGAAGACGAGGAAATCTTTAGCAAGCTATGACTACCCACCCCATAGCCAGAGGCTCTCAAAGATAAAAAAGAAAAAAAGCATCAGTGAAAGGCCTGAGGTATAATGATTCATGATTTTAATTATAAAAAAGGAGAATATTATCCACCCATAAACATGAATGAGGTATTGATAAATGCTATACACAGATGAACCTTGAAAACATTATGCTAAGTGAAAGAAGCCAGACACAGAAGGTCACATATCGTATGATTTCATAAATACGAAATATCCAGAAAAGGTAAATCCATAGAGACAGAAATGAGACTGACGGTTGCCAGGGGAGGGAGGAGGGGACAGTGGGGATAAACTGCTTCATCGGTACGGGGTGTTTTCCTTTTTAGAAATGAAAATCTTTTGGAATTAGATAGAGGTGATAGTTGCACAACTCTGTGAATGTACTAAATGCCACTCAATTGCTCACTTCAAAATGGTTAAGTTTATGTTATGTGAATTTCACCTCGATAAATTATTTAAAAAAAAAAAAAAAAGACACAGGAACCAGCCTAAAGGAGGTAGGAGCTGCCACTGACCAAACTAGGACAACCTGAGCATCGAAATGAATCATGGCAGGAATGGTGTATAACACATTAAATAATAAATAATCCTTGAGTCTGTCAGGGGGAAAAAAGGAATAAAAGATGACAGCACCTTTAAAGGAAAGGAAACAGGAAGTGGAAAGCTCTATTGGAGACCAGGTAGAATTTTGGGCACTCAGATCGCTAACAGGCAGCTCCAACCTGATAGGTCCAAAACCACACTCGTGATCTCTGCCCGACACCTGCCCCTGGCCAAGCCCTCTCTGACACACTGGGCAGCCATCATTCTGCAGCGGCTCAGGCCAAGCAGCAGTGGTCCCTCAGCTCCTCGTTCGCTCACACCCCTCAGCTAATCCCTAAACAGATCCCATTGGCTCTAATTTCCAAATATATTTAGAATCTGACCATTTCTGTCATCTCCACTGCGACTGCGCTGGGTCCAGCCAGCATGCATCCCCGCTGGCCTGGATTTCTATAATACTTTCACAACTAATCTTCCTGTTCCCACCTTTGTCCCCCTGTAGGAGTCAAATTTCCACACAGCCTTAAAGACAATTGTAAAGATGAGTCACATGGGTATTTACTTAAAATTATTTATAACACCATCATTTTGTTTTATGTTCTTTTCTTTACATAATGCAATTCACAGTTTTTTAAATGGAGAAAAAAATTAACAGGTTAAGTCAGATGATATCCGACCAAAATCTTCCATTTCACTTAGAAGAAAAAAAAAAGTTCTTCAGATGCCCTTGAAGGCCCTATAGGATCTGAGCCCTGCTCTCTTGGATCCTGTCTCTCACTTCTCTCTCTTTCCTTCAGCCCTTTGAACTACCCTGGCCTCCTCTCTACCCCTGCAATACACCAAGGCAGTCCCACCTCAGCATTCCTGTGCTTACTGTCCCCTCCCCTATAGTGCTGCTCACCCAGGTGTCTGCCTGGCTCCCTCCCTCATGTAACCCAGGCACCTGCTCGAATGCCTCACTCCAGGAGCAGCCTATAGAAAAGAACACCCTTGTGAACCCCTGACCCCTCATCTTGCTTTATTTTTCTTCTCAGCATGTTACCAGGCATATCACGTATTTGCTTATAGTCTGTCTTCCCCAAGTAGAATATAAGCTCCATGGAGGGAAGAGGGACTTCGTTCTGATTTTTCATTGCTGAATACATTATTTCATGGCTGTACCTAGAACACTGTCTGGCAGAGAGGGGCAGCAGACTTGTTGAACAAATCGAAGATGGAATGAACTGCCCCCAGAAGCAGATACAGCAGACACAGGGCATGCCCTCTGACCTGGTGCTCATGGCCTGAGAGACTGACCCCAGCCCAGGCCAGCCAGCTTCATGCAGGAGACTCCAAGAGCAGAGAGGGACCCTAACCAGTCATACAAGTCACAAAAGCTGGCTTGTCAAGCAACAAATGAGAATCAATGGCCCTGAAAGGATCTTAAAAGGACCCCTCCCAAACTCCCAACTCCTTCGCAGCCCCTTGATGGGTGTGGTGCTCAGAGAACGCCCGTCGCTGGGATTGCCAAACAGCTCCAAGCACATGATTTATGGATAAAAGGATCAATGACATCAGTGCCTTTCCTACAAAACAACACTGTGCTATAATACTACCTTTAAAAAGAAAAAACAGTAATGATGTCAATTAAGCTGAGCCACTTGGAGGCAAGGCCGTGTGGCCACATGCGCCAGCTCTTACTGACTTTATATCTTCTAAGTTCTCTATCCCACTGGCTCAGAGACCACAAAACCAGATAACCAAATAAAGGAACCCAAGGGAGTGGCTGACAGAGTGGCTATGATCCTAAATGTCATTCAGAGCAGCGGTTTGCAGCCTTGGCTGCATGTACGAATCACCTGGGGATCCTTTTAAAATCCTCCTACCCGGACCACACCCCAAACCAATTCCATTGTGATTTCTGGGCAGGTGAACCAAGCATCAGGGTTTCTGAAAGTTCTCCCCGTGACTTCCACATGTGCAGCCAATGCTGAAAACCACTGAAACGGGGAGAGGCTGTTGGTTGTGTTGTCTAAGAAGGCAGGGGAGGGACTCAGTCTCCTTACCTCACCAACGTGTCACTGCCAGCCCCTCCCGGGCTGTAATAAAGCACATTCTCCAAGGACAGGGAGAATTTCAGCCCTTCTGCCTCTGAGATGTATAAATTGGTGCGGTTGTTACTGTGACTGACACACACAAACACCTGGTCCTCGGAGGCATCTGCGATGTAATATTCCTTTGGAATCAAAAGTCAAAGATATGTAAGTCAAAAACAAATATGCCCTCTGGGCTTTTTCTATACCCATGAAAGCAATGACTTTCAAACGTCCCAGTGACAAAAGTGGGCCTAACAGCCCACAGGAAGTTCTCTAATCTTGGCAAAGAAGCTTGGACTACTTCCCCTTTGGAGAGCCAGAGGTAGGTCTGCAGCCTGCTCAGGTCCCTTATTGCTAATGGGGCACAAAGTGAGAATGGGCCACTGAACTCCATGAATGACCTAAAAACCTCTTTTTAGTTAATAATATCTCCTTCTTTTCCCCCATGAGACCTTTCAATATAGATACAGATTAGCGTGCACCTCATTTCCCTTTATTTTCCCTAAGGTGACTAGAAGAAGGTGGAACCCACAGAAACTAGCAAAGAACTGGCAACACCATTCTCTACCACATCCCCTCCAAGCTACGCGCCTTGCACCACACTGACTGCCAATGCCAAGGCCTGCCAAGGAGCCCTCGCCTGTGGTCACTTCTGATGACCCAGCCCATACTGATTTCTCCTACCTTTCTCCATGTTAACATGCTACATATTCAAGCACTTGACTATATATGGCTGCTTCCTGTGCTCTGTTCTTGGTCTCTCCAAACTGTCTGTTACTAAAAGGTGAGACCCAAATCTTAACCCTTTTCAGAACCCAGCAATCTGCAAGCAATACAGCAGGTAAGTGATTAAAAAACTCCTATTGCACGTAAACTTTCCATTGCTTCAGAACTGGCACATTTAGGCCACTGACTCTGGCTCCAACCTCTCTGCCAGTCCTGCTCCACTTAAAGCAAATTAAGGTCCCTGCTCAACTCCACTTCAGTAAAGTGAGAAACAACAGGTCAAGATGCCCAAAGCATAAGGGCTCACTCTCTCTAGAAAGTGAATTCAGGGAGCCTCCATAAAATCCCCACAGCAGGACATTCCCACAACACCCTTCCCCTGACCTCTGCGTGGGGACAGTAACACTTCTTCCCAGCCTCACCCAGACCCCACTCACATTAATAGGATGCCTCGTGACAAACTGGGCTGGTCGCATGGGCTTCCGGCCAAAGGAGACCCAGAGCTGGACAGAAGGCTGCTGCTGGCCACCCAAGAGATGCTGCCAAGGAAGAAGAGAAAAATATTAATTGTGCCAGATTATAGCCACTCAAAACAAGCAAAAAAGAAAACAGAAAAGTTAGACCCCTCCAAATCTACTAGAAACACAAAATAGAGAATACAACTGCAAATTCATTATTTCTGCAGTGTCTGCCATCACTGGACAGCTTGGACTGTGCTGCTTTTCCCCGGAAACCTGGTCCACCATAGATAGTAGACACTCCACGGACATTAGATGAGGAAGGACAACGGCATGATGGGAGAACTTGGACTAGGAGAGAGTGTTTGAGGCTGCCAACGCTTAAGCAGAGTGGAAGGGAGAGGATTGTGTGATACGGATAAAGAGACAGGCAGGGTGCAGCCTACAGCCCCCAAACCACCAGAGGGTGAGATCAGCCACACACTGTGCACATAAAACACATTCTCTTCTCCTTCCTACTCCTATTTTTAGATTGCAAAGGATATTCCAGTCATAAGGCTTTAATTTGTACCAAGACTTCAGGGAATCTTCACTGATTCTGTTTTTTAATCTGAATACTTCCCATTGAATAAGGTCTTTTGCTAGAATATATATCCATCAGTAGAGTATTCGACATGACGTTGACCACATCACATTGCATTTTAGAGATTTTAAGCCACAGCTGGAATCTTGAAAATGTGTATAAAAGCACTAGATCAAGAGCTAGCTCTACCACCTAAGAAAATCACAAAATCTCTCTAGCCTTTGGTTGATTCATGCATAAAATGAGAAGCTTATATGCATCAAGACTTCCACATAGATGGGTTTAAATGGTCCAGAAACCTGTAAATATATGTACAAAATGTTTGCATATATGCACTTAGTCATTTTGCTAGGGAGGGTACATGCCTATTAATACCATCAGATTCTCAAATAAGTCTATGACTCAAAGAAGGGTAAGAACTGCTATAAAGGCTCTACGTGGTTTCTTTCAGCTCTAAAGAACGTGACCAAGAAGTGAAGGCAAATGTTGCACACGTATCAGGGAAGACACAGGGAGGCACACCCTCGCACGCAGCGAGTCACACAAATGACTGTGAAACTCACTGAGATGCTGGGATCCCCATCCAGAAGGCTTTGCTGACTAGGGTGCTGTTTATGATAAGTATTACTTCCTATCAAATAAGGAACACATCAATTTATTTTACCAGTAATATAACAACTGAGTACCCTGTGGGGCTCATATATGGCATGCAAACACTACCTGAGGACCAAGCTGAAAAACACAGCTACTTTTGTTTCATTCGAGAAGTGTACATATTCAAACGACCATTGAACAAATGATTAAAAATAGTTTGTTTTAAAGAAGCCAGTTAGAGAGGTACAAAAGACTGCCTTTCCAAAATGGTAACTTGAAAACCATATTAATAGCTTATACTCAGTATGGGGCCAAAGGAAATGATAGATCTATTAAAAATATACAAACATATTACTTGAATGAAAAAACAGTTCCCAGCAAAATTGTTACATATAAATTCCAAAAGCCCTCATTAAGTCGATAAAATGTTATAGCTTTGTCAGATGATTAGTTTGTTACTCTATATACATATAAATATTTATGAATATATAAATACAAATATCAATAAAATACATTTTTATGCTTTATATTTTTTTCACAACTTCCAACTGTGAGTACAACTTAAAAAGGAGTAATTTCTCAGTGACACCCAGGCCCATCATTAGTTAAAAGTACTTAATGATCGCTGCTGGGAGCCCTGAGAATTGAGAATATATTTCATAGGCCAGTCTTACCCCATAAATGCAAAAATCACAGAATACTGGGATCATTAGAAAAATCTCAAAATGCATCCAACCCGCTACCTTACGGAAGAATCATTCCTAAACCTGGACAATTCAGGTTCACTCCCAATGGATTCCTAAAGAGTTATTACTTTATTGTCACCAAGAAAAATATTAGCAATTAAACTATAGCATATTACTGATGGTAAGATGCACTGCAAGGCCTTGACACTTTTCTTAATAAACCACAGGTTTTTGGTTAGTTTGTTTAGTTTTGTGCCCCTATTATTAGAAAAGTAAGACATGCTCATCAAAAACATCCAAGGGATAGACGGGTAAAAGGTAAAATGCAGAAGTGCAGCTCTGATTCTCAGTCCCACATCCCACTCTACCTGCTGGAGTGCCCACGGGCTGACAGCTCTCATGCATTCTTTCAGAAATGTTCTGTGCCATCACACACAAGCATATTTACATAGTGACAGACACTGCTACATCCACCCCCAACATCCATTATACCTTTCCTCCTGAACAACAGGACCCTGACTGCCACCCAGAAAAGACTGGTTCTCTACCTTTTTGGCAGCTATGTGTGGTCATGTGACTAAGTACTAGCCAATGAGGTGCAATGCTGGGATCAAAAACACAATTAAGGAATAAGACATGGTTTCTTTCTTCTAGAAGCCATCAGTCTAGGGAGATGTAAGACATATCTTAGAAAGAAATAGCATATGTCACAGCCATTTGGGGATTAAAAATACCAAATTGTTTATAGCCTTACTACTAGGATTCTTTGGGGCCATGGTTCCTTTATACACACTCATCTGTGGGTCTTTATGCACAGAAACAAAAGGAACCAGTGTTCATGTTGGATTTCTAGGAAGGCCACTTTAAGAGACTAAATTAGTTGGAAGAGGTCCTACTTTGGCCTTTCTGTCTTTCCTTATTCTTCCTTACTACACTAAGAACTCAAAGACTAATATGGGCATCTTGGAGCATGAGGTAACCTGGAGAATAAAAATCATTACTTTGCATTGCAAAACAGAAAGATAGAAGCCTGGGTCCCAGTAACACCAGAACACCAACATACCAGCCCTAGACTGCCTACAACCAAACTCCCATCTTAAATAAGCTACTTTTATTTCTACTGTTACCAGTGGCCTAACACAATTCCAAATTGTTACAGGCAATCGAATTTTTCACATACAAATGGGATCACGATATAAATATTGTTGTGCAACTGAATTTTTTCCATTAACAGTGTATCTTACTATTCTATAATTTAAATTTCTATCATTAATAGTGAATTTAAATATCTTTCCATTTAACAGCTATTGATAGGCATTTAGATTATTTCCAGAAGCATTCTTCAATGAATATACTTGTATATATAACCTTTTTCAGAACTTCACAACAGTACTCTATAGGATACATTCTTAAAAGAATTCCTAAGTCAAAATTTTTGATAGTCATCATGAAATGGCCCTCCTAAAAGGTTAACCAGTTAATACATCCACTAGCACACATACCTTCATCAAAAACTAGGAATTATTTAAATGTTTTAATCTATGTCAATCTTATAGGGTCTAAAAACTTATAAGAAGATTTTTAAAAATTTTTTTTTTTCATTTCTCATGATTAAAAATAAATTAAGGGCTGGGTAATCCTAGCACTTTAGTAGACCGAAGCAGGAGGATTGCTTGAGGACAGGAGTTGGAGACCAGCCTGGTCAATATAGCGAGACTCCATCTCTAAAAAAAATTTGAAAATCAGCCAGACATGGTGGCATGCGCCTGTAGTCCTAGCTACTTGGGAGGTTGAGGCAGGAGGATTGCCTGAACCCGGGAGTTTTAGGCTACAGTGAGCTACAATCACACCACTGCACTCCAGCCAGGTAACAGAGTGACCTCTCTCTAAAAATTAATTAATACATATCTGAATAACCTGAATTTCCACTGATAGTTGAGATTGTGTCAAGAAAAGAAATGGGAGATTAAGGAACTAAATAAATGACACATTCTTCTCAAGTGAAGGCCAAAGCATATTGCAGTGAGCTGTTCAACTGAAAGTTTCACAGTGGTTCAGCTAGAGAAAATTGGTGGAAGAATTGAGGTACCCCAAGGCAGGTGGCAGCACAGGGACACCAGTCCAGAAGCACCTGAGCCCAGCATTTGCTCCCACAGTCTCCTTTGGAGCAATAATAAAGTTTCAGCAAAACATCGTTATCCGAATTAGCGTTGTTTACAACAAACATCACAAATAATACATTGCTAAGATACGACATCGGGGATAATCCAGGGGAAAAAAATATTAAGTAGTGGGTAGATAGCTAAAGAGAGGTTAGCAAACACAAGCAAGTAATACCGAAGCTAGATGAGGGCATGTGGGGAGGTCATAACCGTATTAACTGTTCTTTTGTATAAGTTGGAAAATGTCCATAATAAAGTTTAGAAAGTTAATGTTAATCGTAACACTTCCAGAATGGCAAAGAAATCTCGAAAGCCACTCATCCATAAAAGCAAGAAAAACAATGACAAAAATTCTCAAAATCAACTTTTTCAGAATTCTGAAAATTAAATAAAGTTTACAAAAATCCAAGGAGCATTTATTCAGGAACAATGGCTGAATCTTGGCAAAAACAGCCAACTTTGTGATGGTTTCCTTTGCCCCAATCCCCTCCCTTTCCAGCTCTTTGGTAGCCTTGGAAACCCTCAGCCTCACATTTACCATAGCTGTGAAAAATAGCAGCCTGGCAGCCGCTGGAGAAGACAAAACAGGTTTAGAGCTCCCAAAAAGCCTGACCTGTCTGGTGGCTGGCAGGAATGCTGCCTTCTCAGGTCTTATCTTTATATAACCTGACTCAGCTCACTATACAAACAGCCCTATAGCCAGCCAGGGTATTTATGGAAAACAGTGAGTGACAACTGGCAAATGTTTAATATCACAGCTGCCAGAGGCAGTATTACCACTTGGGGCTAACAAGAGGCTAACTAAACAGCTTAAAAGGAAAAATCGGGGAAGAAGATGTCCTTAAGAGGTTGTGATAACCTCTGAAATATTCCTGGGACTCTACAAGGTCAAGCAGATAAGAGCTGTGAGTATATTCAGGAAATAATTGAAAAGGGTCAAATCTCTCACCTCTGGCGAATTTTGAGACTCTGCACAAACAGGAAGTGAAGGCTAGGGCAGAGTTGTAAACTGCCTACCAACACATACCAGAGGCCATCAACAAAGGCAGAGAGACT